AAAACTTTTCTGACGTGGTCTCTCCAAAATGATAAACATGGTCTCCAGAAAACGGAAAAAAACCCCCCAAATTGAATTTGATCTACACTTTCTTGACCAACGACTCTTTATACAACTACAAATAACAATGGTATGTGGTTTACGCATAAAAATCAAAGAAGGGTTAATGAGTTGATGAATCTCGCGAACTTTTTTACTAACCTCACCAGGCTTTACAAACACCAAAACAAAGAGCAGCTAATGCCAAGTTTGAAAAGAAAGCAACGAAACAATGGGGAAAGCCAAAATCTGACAAAGAAAAGGTTGAATACCCAGTATCTAAAACGTGGCTCTTTGTGTTGTTGTTTTTAGTTGCTGGTGGTGCAATTTTGGAGTTGATTCGAATGCTCTTTTGAGGAGTTTGTTGAGAAGAGAAATAAGAGATAAGTGGAGGTAAGATCAAAAGAGAGAGGGAAGGAGGGGGTGGGGGAAAGTCGACGCTGGCAATAGCTATATGGATTCGGATAAATTGAGAGCCGCTCCATCTACGTCCACGCTTGTATTATTAGAAGGTTTCACAGCGATCAAAAGTTTTGCGATTGGAAGTATAAATGGTTGACAAGATTTACAATTTTTAGATACATAATTAATACATCTTTGAAGTCACGACTTCCTACACTAAGACTGATGCTTCTTGTCATTGAGAAATAGAAGTGTTCCAATATACCCAAAGAACTGATTCTTTAAAGTTGGGAAACGTATATCATAATGAAATAGTGATGGTTCTCGTAGCCATCTATTGTGCCACTGCAATTCGAGCTTGCGTTGGATCCACCATCAGACACGTCTTGCACTCACAACCAAACTGTGATGTTAGCAGAGGTGTATAACAATGCACTGCACTCCCAAAGTCTACCAATCTTAGATAGGCAAGCAATTTATTTTAGCAATATAACGTAAGTAGAAAAAAAAAGAAACCATCTTTGCTGTCACTGGAGGTCTATATAGCAGTGATGTTTGAATCAGAGGTGTATTTTACTTGAGCGAGTGAGATGGTTTCCTTGTCCAAGTTGTAAACAACATAAGCATGTCTCAAGAAGTTGTCACCCAAGATTGGCGGGACATTGTGACTATCCGCATTCTGTAAACCCCAAAGACAAGTTCCTAATGTATTTTGAAGGGTGAAATCTGATAATGGAACATCGACCTTAGCACCATTGTCAAAAGTGAATGAAGCTGTACCTTGATTTTTATGACAATTAATAAAGTAGAGTTCATTGTCCACACCAACTGGGAGCAAAAACGCACCAACCTCTTTAGCAAGATCTTCAACTAAAGAGCCAGGCAAGTAAGTGATTGTAGTTCCTGAATCCAAAACAGCGCTAAAATTTGTTGATCTAGAATTGCCATCGTAGTTGAGAGACTGCAAGCTGATACCCAAGTAGCGATCAATGTCCACTTTTTCTTCAACAAGGTTTCCAGAGTATTTGGCATTGTCAACACCACCAAAAATGATAGTTCCTGTTAAAGCACCTGGCTCATTTAAAAATAATGAGTAAGCGTTGGTCTTGATCTTTCCTTGCTTCTTCAATGTGGCAGGCACATTATCATATTCTGGATCAGCACTTTCAGTCTGACGACGTGACACCCCCAAGATTCCTTGGTTAACAGAAGTGCTATTCACATCAGCAAACTGTTGGTTTGTGATTGAGACACCACCGATGGATACAGTATCCTCAGCCCAAATACCATCTGAAGTAGTTCCATCTCCATATTTAATGTGGAAACTTGAACCTAATGACTTGAACGAACTTGAGGTTTGTGGATTGAAGGTACCAAAGGCTTTACAAAATTGGAGCCTTTGACAAGTTGCTGACTTATCAACCACCCAAAAGTCACTGGAACCAGTGTCAAGAATAACTTTTACTTCTTGCTGGTCAGACCCCACTGACACACGAATACCATACGATGGACCTTCTGAGTACAATGGAATAGACAACGGTTGTCTTTTTTGAATAGCATTGGATGTTGCGTTCAAGTCAATGGGATTTCTGGTGACATCAAAATCCAAAGCAACGAATCCAGGACTGTCGTCTCTTTTGTTGGCTTCAGGAATAGCAGCACCTTGAGCAGCAACCAAGGCAAAGGCAAGGGCAAGCAAAACGTTTCTAGTGAATGTAGCAATTGTAGTCATCCCTGAAGGCACTTGACTGATTGGTGACGGCAAGGGAAAGTCAACGAAACTTCATGGGAATATCTTACAGTATTTATAATGTTAGGTGGAACCAATTGTAGCATCGTTGCTTATTATTCTCCCGTTATTTTGACTTCTTTAATCGAATTGTTGTAAAAGCGGGTGTAATACTTGACGGAAATAATTGGAAACGCATACCACACAAACACAACGCGATTGTGTTAATACAATGCAAGACGAACTTGACAGGCAGTTGTAAAACTTGTGAAGACAACGGGGTTCCACAAAAGTTGCTTTTCCGCTTTGGACAGATAATGATCTTGCTATTGTCAAGTATTGAGTACAACAAGTCGCATAAACAAAAGAATAGAACTTCATTTCCAAGTTGGATCACAACCGGGTAGTCTTTCCAGAAATTCGTGATGCCAGTGTCATAGACTCCATTGAGGATGTTCCTGACGGAACCACAGTCTCATTTAAAATAGTGGTATCGACTATCTTGGCCGTGTTTGCAGTGTGAACTGAGATATCTTGTCAGACGGTGTCTGTAGTCAATAAATGCAGAGTTGTATTACTAGTAAGCAGTTGTGGGTCTCTGGCTTCCAAATACTGGAATTAGGCGAATGTCAAACTTAGCCCTTTTTTTTCTTCTGTGCAAATCTTTAAAAAATCTTTGAATAATGATAAGAACTTGAAGATAAATGAAATGCCATCGTTCCTCAACGACCAACGATTTTCGTGCATAAATACAGACACAGGCTGTAACTCACATGGCCATCAATTTCCAATCATCTTGCTATTCATCACTTCATGATTGGCACAAATGGTCTTAGGAACATGTGGTTGATTTCACAAATAGGTTGCTCGTGCTGCGTCCTTTGATGGCAACATATAAATGCAGTTTGATTACAATATCAGAGCCACATTTATCCGCAAAATCGAGATAATCAGTCATTGGTTGTTCCGCCTTGAGCAAATCCTTTCGACAATGTTACGTTCATTCAGTTAGTCATTATTGGTAAGCACTGAGCTTAAACCTGAACAATAGACATTCCATGAACAATAAGTCTATGACTACAGAAATGACAAAGAGTTGGAGGAACATTTCGTGCCGTAGCATTTTTTATTGAGGTGTCGTTATGGTTACAAAACCAAGGCTCAAATGCTTATCTATGCAATGCGCTTTAAATTACTGTAATTCTGCCTTCTCATTGGTTGATTCTAAGTACAAAAAAGAAAAAAAAGGTACAACACTGTAAAACCCGTGGAATTCTCACTCTTGCAGATGTTGTACCTGGCAGGATCATTTTCAGGCTTTTGAACAAAGTAAATAGACAACTACTATGTTGTGGAATGCTATTACACTATAAACTTCCCCCCTGATCTTGAAGTTAAACGTTTGAATACACGCTTTTAAAAAGTATGTTTATGGTAACATGAAGAAAGTTGTAAATTTTGAAACGACTCATTCATGGTCGTTGGGGATGACGTATCAACACACCATTACAATAGCTACGGCACGAGTTTTGAATACAATAGACAGAGGAGGAGTCTCTTTTTTGTTTTGCAATTGTTTTTTTATTTTTCTTCATAGACAATAGACTTTGTTGCAGGAATTACACAAACATACCGAAGCCAGAAGAAAAAAAAAATTAAACGTACCATTTAGTGACTTTTTAGACAGGATGTGCTGTAGATGAATAACGATTATTTCCGAAAGGGGCTCCAGGAGTCCTGAAGATGTCAAGGTATCGTGGAACCGAGAAAGAGTGGGGAAAAAGCAGCTACCTGCCTCACACTTGTTCATGTTTGAGGAGCCTCAGCTCACAATGCGCTACTAACAATAGAAAACCCGACAACAGAACAAACATGGGATTCGTGTTTTTATTGATTCCAAACTTGACCCCTCTATGACAAGTCTAGATGTTGACTTATGTTACACAAAATTCACAAACTGCATGGCATCAACCATTAGAACACCAACCGCAGTACACGGAAATAAAAATTGACAACAGAGAAACTAGCTGAATTTGGCTACTAGAGAGTGTTGGACTGTTGAAATTTGCACCTTTTTTCTGATAGAGAAGAGCTAGATCACTTCTAAGACTTGCACTCAATCAAATAGAACTTCCTATTGCAAGCAAAAATCCCAAGACATTTTCAATTGGTACCTGAAAGATTTTCTTTTCGCTGCTAAAACAAAAAAAAAAAAAAAAAGAATAATTAAACATAAATTGCATTGTTTTTGGAGTTGATCTTTTGCTTACACAAAATGGACACTCCACAGTTGCGTATAAAAAGATTCTGCTTTGTTTCTTCTGCTGAACAATAAACAAAAATATCACCTTTGGAAATAAAATTTCAAAGTTGGTATCAATCACAGACTACACTCTACTAAGAAGTTAATAAAAGCCACAAATTGAGGCTTTGTTAGTTTCAAATACGAAGAAAGCAATGCAAGAGTGGTGTCAACATTGCCGGAGAAAGAAACGGCGATAAAGTTGCAAGACTTGATCAGTCTTGATGCAAATCTATAAATATCCTACTGGATCTCCTAATAAAACTCTCAATTTACAATGTCCTCAACTACTTTGCTCATCGTTGATTGACTATAAACAAACAAAAAAAAAATAATAAAATGGTTGCCTTTATCACCTTCACACGTCAAGTTTTTCTTGCCGTTGCTTTCGCTTTGCTTGCTCAAGGTGCTATTATCCCAGAAGAAGTTGCTAAAAGAGACGGCTCTCCTGGATTTATTGCTTTGGACTTTGACGTTCTTAGAAAACCATTGAACTTGTCCGCAGTGATCCATCATCAAAAGAGAGATGCCATTTCGTTGTCATTGATCAATGAAGGTCCGTCGTATGCTGCTAAAGTATCAGTTGGTTCCAATAAGCAAGAACAAACTGTTGTTATTGACACTGGCTCAAGTGATTTTTGGGTGGTCGATACTAAAGCTCAATGCGAAAATCAAGTTGATTGCAAAAGCTCAGGTACATTTGATCCGTCTTCCTCTTCATCTTACAAAAACTTAAACGAGGACTTTGCAATTCGATATGGTGACGGCACAACTTCACAAGGTACCTGGGGTGAAGATACTGTTACAATCAATGGTATTTCAATCACTGGACAACAATTGGCAGATGTCACTGAAACTTCAGTTGATCAAGGTATTTTGGGTATTGGGTACACTGGTAACGAGGCTGTTACAAACCAAAGTGGTCAACAGACTACTCAAAACTACGACAATGTTCCCGTGACTTTGAAAAAGCAAGGCAAGATCAAAACCAACGCTTACTCGTTGTATTTGAACTCCCCAACTGCTGACTCCGGTACCATTATCTTTGGAGGTGTTGACAATGCCAAGTACTCGGGTCTGTTGGTTGCCGAACAAGTCACCCTGTCAAATCAATTGACAATCTCACTCTCATCGGTCAACTTTCGCGGGTCGTCATTTTCATTTGGACAAGGTGCATTGTTAGACTCTGGAACTACACTCACCTATTTCCCTAGTTCATTTGCTGCTAAATTGGCCAAACAAGCTGGCGCGTATCTCGTTGAAGTTGGCACAAACGAGTACTTGTACTTCATTGATTGCAACACAAATACATCTGGCTCAACTACATTCAATTTTGACAACGGTGCTACAATTACAGTTCCAAATTCTGAATATGTTTATCAAACCAGTGATGGCACTTGTCTTTGGGGTATTCAAGAGTCAAGTCAAACTATTTTGGGTGACAACTTTTTGAGACATGCTTATCTTCTCTACAACTTGGATGCTAATACAATCTCAATTGCTCAGGTCAAGTATACCACAGAATCCAACGTTTCCGCCGTTTGAATTGTCTTCAGTTCTCTAAAAATGTTTCTATAGATACCTATATTAGATTACGTACACTTTCAATTCAAATTATGTTAGGCCCTTTCTAGAAAAAAGGCTTTACACCAATCAAGCTTGTTCCGGGTATTGATACAGTCTACAGCTCTCGGAATTAAGCTAGCGGCTCTTCGTTGTGTTAATTGTGCCTTACAAGTGCTTTAAAGCCAAGCGATTTGTTATTGGGTCACACAAAAGAACCTTTTTTGATGGCGTGTCTCTTAGCTGGAACTGAATAAATGCAATCCAGTTCAGTTGAAGCAGAGCCCTGAATTCGCAATCATGAGTGCGCTCAAGGTGTGTTGTTATTAACCATTGTATGTCCAATTTGCACAAAAGCCATTTTTCATGACAATAGACAACAATTCTATAGATGTTTAATTGATTGTGACTAGACTGGTGGAGTGATGCTGCCTAGTGAGTATACACAAAACCCACTTATCAATGATTATTAATGCAACACAGTCTAAAAATAGTACTTAGATCATCATTTTCATTGGTTGACACCAACTGCTATCAAAAGCAAAAAAACAAAAAACTAAGTCAAAAAACAGTACATTGTTTACCCTTCGAATACGGAAAAAGGTGCTAAAGTGTTGAAACAGCCGACAACCGTTCATTAGATAAATGATGCACCAATGGCCTTTTCCGTCATACAACAAACCCTTTTCAAACGTTTAAGCAATATCCAATAGAGGAAAAGCCGGTGCACAAAGTTTTTGCTCGGCAATGAAATGTGTTTAAGGACATATACTGAAGTGTTTTAGAGATATACAAGTGGCCCAGAATTCTGCTCCTAAGGTTTTGAATTCCATCAAACACTTTCCACGGTGAAAAAACAAAATCGTCAACAAAGAATACATCGATTAGTAATGCCGGTTATTTCTAATCTCTCACAAAACCAAACTGTAGTTACAGTTTCAGAAGATGGCAATATTGCTTTGCATCAATTTGACCAACGAAAGAAAATACGGCAGATTACAGCTAAGGCTCGCAAAACAGGTAAGTTTAAGCTGGTGGGCGTCATTCACTAAATCCAACAGGAGAGGCATACCAAGTAAGTATTCAAGTGTGCGGCCACAACAAAAATGTGAGTTGTTATCTTTCCCCAAATGCCAAGAGATAATTTGAACTTTGACATATTTTCAACGTCGCGGAAACGCAAAAATCCGTGTTGATAACGTCAAGCAGCACAAAACCGGTGCATTACACTTTCGGGAAGAAAGTTTACTTTTCCGCATTTGCAGCAAAGTTAATATAGTAAATATGCGGATATAATGACAAGGTACGATTAGGGTAGTCTTAAAAAGCAAGCATCAATAGATCAAACTTCCAACAATGGAAGAATCAAGGAGGCTTTTGCCGTGAAGGCATACGGCATCAAGAGAACGTGGGAAAGCACCTTCAAAGAATCCACGGGCGTATAAATATTCAATAATATCTACTTACCAGTTTCGAACAATTCAATTTTAACAACCAACCCATTCACCTTTACCACTTCTTAACGAAAAAATATATATAGATATAAAAATGGTTGCCATTATTACCTTCACACGTCAAGTTTTTCTTGCCGTTGCTTTCGCTTTGCTTGCTCAAGGTGCTATTATTCCAGAAGAAGTTGCTAAAAGAGACGGCTCTCCTGGATTTGTTTCGCTAGGCTTTGATGTCACCAGAAAGCCATTAAATTTGACTGCAGTGGCCCATAATCATAAGAGGGACTCCATTTCAGAGTCCTTGATTAACGAAGGTCCATCATACGCGGCCAAGGTGTCAGTTGGCTCCAATAATCAAGAGCTAACACTTATCATTGACACTGGCTCTAGTGATCTTTGGGTTGTTGACAAACATGCCGTCTGTGCTCCTGGCGATTACTGCAAAGTGTATGGAACATTTGACCCAGGCGCTTCATCTTCTTACCAAAGTTTGCATGAACCCTTTGCAATTCAATATGCTGATGGTACAGCATCTCAAGGAACTTGGGCCAAAGATACGGTTACAATCAATGGGGTGTCCATCACAGAACAACAATTGGCAGACGTCTCTTTGACTGCTGTTAATCAAGGAATCTTGGGTATCGGCTTCCCCACCACCGAGTCTGTTGGTGGTTTATTAGGTTCTTCAACTTATGATAACGTTCCTATTACTTTGAAAAAGCAAGGCAAGATCAAAACCAACGCGTACTCGTTGTATTTGAACTCCCCAACTGCTGAATCTGGTACCTTTATCTTTGGAGGTGTTGACAATGCCAAGTACTCAGGTGAGCTCGTTGAAGAGAAGGTTACGCTGTCAGCTTTGACCATCTCATTATCCTCAATCTACTTGAAAGGTGCTACTTACTCAGTTGCAAAAGATGCTTTGTTGGATTCTGGAACAACACTTACATACCTTCCACCTGCAGTGGTGAGGGAACTTGCACAACAAGCTGGTGCTCAACTTAGACCAGCAGGCTTGGGTGGGCTCTTGTATTTTATTGATTGTAATGCAAACACGTCTGGTTCCACTACTTTCAATTTCGCAAATGGGGCAAATATCACCGTTCCAAACTCGGAGTACATCTTTCCAAACAATGATGGTACATGTCTTTGGGGTATTCAAGAATCAAATGACATCATTTTAGGTGACAACTTCTTGAGACATGCTTACCTCCTTTACAACTTGGACGCCAAGACTATTTCAATTGCGCAAGTCAAGTACACTTCTGAATCCAACATTTCTACTGTATGAGCTGTCTTGAAGTAGAGCACGTCCATTGTGTTATATACATTTTAATTCAAAATATCGTTATAGCTTTCGTTAACAATGCTAAAGTTGGCTGCAGTTTGTAGTTTCCCTCGAGATGCCACGGACTGAACTTGGACGCCTGTGTTGTAATGTTCTCTTGCTAAAAAAAAAAAAAAAGACCCCAATCAGTCATCAAATGTGCAAAGGGAAGCACCGGCTAAATTAACCAAATTATTGACTGTAGAATGAAATCTCGCTATCTAAAGTAGAATCCACTTGAGGAAATTGAATTGAGTAAGTATCAAAATGAGTAGATCAACCAAATACACCACAAAGTCATATAGTTCCAACGGTATCGGAATCAACTTGACTGGGAGCTTATTAACATACAACTGAAATTTGACTTCATCTTGTGTACTCAAAAACTTTTCATCGTTGTAAGAAATCCCAAAAAATTGATAATCGATCCGAATGTACAAATCCAATTGAGTTGGATCAACAGCTAGAGCTTCATCACTGGTCAACTCTTTCGTCTTGATGTACTCGTGAGATAATTTAAAGTCATAGGGATGCGTTGCTGGCCAGCATAGTTTCACATTCAACAAGTCTCCACTGTCAAATAATGTGTCGTTATAATTGTTCAACCTAACCAAAATTGTCTTGCTCAGTTTTGCAACACTGTCATACGGTAACGAAACCACATTAGACCTGCGTATTACTTTGGACTTTAGCTCATCGTTTATTGTAGTTATTGGATAGTCAAGTAAGACGTCGAGACTTGAATTGATATGGTGCCAGGTTCGTTGTATTTCTTCAACTTGGTGGATTGACTTTCGATGTGACGGAATATCGTAATGCTGTGGTATCTGAAGTAGATAAGTCTCTGTATTCGCTAAGCAAACAGGTATGAGGTATAGAAAAGATAGCCAAAGCATCGGTGGTTGCGGAGATTGAAATAAATTTTTTTTCTAATGCCAAGTCGGCATTTATATCAGGACCCCCCCCCCCCCACACACACACACACACTCTTTCAACCCCTCTTCTTCCACCACTTCAATACAACGCTATGAACCAGCTCCACTTCTGGTG